TTAGCTAAAAAAGAGATGAACAAAAAATTACCTGCAGTCGCGGTCGAGGTTGAAGAGAGAGGCAGCCTCAGTCGAGATCGTCAGGAGAGAAAGAAGTATTGTGAAAGAAGAGTCGCGAGGAGAGAAAGAAGGGAAAGAGTCGTGAAAGAAGAGAAGGTTATATTTCAGATTATTTTTTACAAAAAAACCTATTTTTTTTATAAAAAAAACCCTAATTGTCGCTTTTTTTTATAAAAAGCGCGATTTATTGCGCTTTTGCCTTAGGGTCGCTTCTCGCTTCTTCATCTGAAGCGAGAGCTTTTTTCAGATCGCCTCGCCTCAAGATAAAAAAGCGCACAAGGGTCACCTCACTTTGAAGCGCGCTTTTCACAACACTGGCTCAAACTGAATCATTTACAGTAATACAGTCCAAGGTCCATCTCAAAACCTCCAGCTTGGCATTAACGGTGCCACGAGTCTCATCAGCCAGAGAAATGTCATCCACAAATAACATATGCCATGGCACCTCACCTTGAATTTTTCTTGTCCATGTATCCATGACCAAGGAAAATAAAAAAGGATTATAAGGTTGATCCTTAGTGCAACTCCATCAAAACTGGGAAGTACTCCAAGTCTCCTCCCACAGTAGCATTAATTGATACGTCAACAAAAAACTACCTAATGCATGAAGTTTAAATGCAGGTGGATGTAGCAAAAACAAATGCATGGAAGGCATGTTGCAACATAAAGAAGAAAGGTAAAGACATGTAGCAATTTAATTCTTTTCCTCATTCTTCTCCTTCTTCTAAGCCTCCTCTCTTTCGTCCAAATCCAAACCCTCCCTCAACAACTTCAAGACTCAAACAACAGTCTTAACTCCCTTATCTTGAGATCAACTGCTCAGATTTGCAACTAAATTGCAACCTCAGCATAGGTGAGCCACTTCACCGGTCTTTATGCTCTCAACATCTACCCCCCCCCCACGCAATAACTCATCTCTTATTGCCGAGTTGAACCCAAAAATCAAAACTCCAATATTTTGTTACCCACTACATTTTTCTTCTCTGTTTTTCCTTTTTTTGTGGAGGGTGGTATTGTCAGGAGAGAAATTGGAAAAGAAACAACAATTTTCAGTTTATGGGTCTAAAGTCATTTTATTAGCTAAATCTCATATGGGAAATGCACAATCCGCCATGCCAGCATTTAGAACTTAATAATAAAAAACCAACAGGTCGAAGTGTTCAATATGTCAGAAATAAAGATTAGTTATCGAAATGAAATATCAAAAGCAAAGTTCAGGTGTCTATGGCTACTCCCAGACTAAATTATACTACTAGTGGTACACTTTCAGCTACCATTGGCTAATTCCATAAAATATGACAGGGTTACCTCACAAGTTGCAAAAAAATTCCACATTTACATTACTTGTGCAGAAATTATAAAACTAAAAAAAGATTCTATACCAGAAACTAAGTGTTGCATATATAAAACTGAGTATTGGGATTATTAAATGTGCTTATCCCTCGAACAAACAACAGCCCTAAATTAAAAAGATCGGGGTTTTAGCAGGCATAGTAAGGAGTTCGACCAATAATAAAAACCGGAGCATAGGCCTTCAAGATCTGAATTTTTAAACTTTAACAGAAACATAGAAAAGGAAAATATATATTAATGATGCAACTAACAGACTATCACACGCAAGAATTCCAAAATAATGGAAGAGAACAACCAAAATCTATATAAAGCAGAATAATATGGTACTCTCAGAAAGTTACTCACTCCATTGTGAAGGACGCCTTGGCACAGATGAAGAAGGATCACTCTGGGAATGTGTACCGGAAGATGATGATCCGCTAGAATCTACCAGTTCACTTTTATACTTCTCAGTGTATCTTACAAGATTATCATGTTCCAAGAGCTTGCTTCGGAGCACTGAAGTTTCCTATCAGCAGAAATAAAAAAATAAAGGTAAAAAGTAGAAGTGCCAGAGTGACAATCACATCTATTTTGCACTGCTCTGATAAAACTAAAGGGTTGTGTAAGATACAAACAATCAACTGCCTGCTGTGCTTTCCAACCAGTCCCAGATTAAAGAAGTCAACTTCTGACATATTCCAAATACTTTTAAACATCTTTAACTATTTCAAATTTTTGCATAGCCATCTACTTGTGCATATTTCATGTTTGTTTCAAACAAAACCACTATCATTCAAATGATCTTTGAAACAGCCAAACAGCACCACTTTCTTAATCAAGCAGTTTTAGTCTCAGGAAATATTATTCCCAATGATTCCAAAATGAACGTTATTCTAGTGTCAGTTGACCAGTGCTCCTTCTTCATCTCAATAACTTGTTCCCTTCTTACACAATAATGTAGACAGGCACAAGATTGTTAAAGTAGTTGTTTCACATGAGAGGAAACCAATTGTTATCTCTACCTAGTAACTATAAGTTGTAACTATTATTATTAAAACAGTTACTTCCAAATTTACCATATAATTAGAGTACAAGTCTGAACAAAATCTAAGCACGTAAAATTGGTTAAATAAAGCCAAAGCGTACTCACAGGCAATGCATACAGTGTAAAAAGTGCATGACCGAGGAAAACTGCATCCAAACTTGTCGGCCTGTTAGATAACTTCAGAGATTAGTAAATAATGATGCAAAGAAAATGATAAATTTGCTTAGTTATGTTTTTGGATGAGGTAACCTGTTTTCGAAGAAATAAGCCTGCTCCCCTAATCTAGTTGATAAAGCACTAAAGGCATCATTGGCATTCCTGTAAATCTGTCCAGCAAAAGGTTTTGATTAACCCCATAATGAACAATATGTGAAATTATAGCTGCAGGAAAGATCACAAATGAAGCAAAAAGGGGATCTCATTCAACTGTCTGGATTCTTCCCACACCCACTGTTCAGGGAAGAGTGAAGCGGAAAAAATCGATAAGACCCCGCTTCACGCTTCAAGTGACGAAGCGCCCACATACTCATTCTTGTCTGTGAAGCGTAGAAGGCTCGCAACGCTTCGCTTCATCGCTAAGCGCTCGCTTTCCTACGCACTGCCCCACAGCAATGCAGAGACTGCATAGTTTCTACAACACTTCGACCTCAAACTAGCTTGAGTGGGCTTTATGATTTCTAATACTCCCTCCGTTTCAATTTTATTATCCTATTTGACTTAGCACGGAGCTTATGAAAGTGAAGAAGACTTCTGAGTCTAATGGTCTTAAATTGAAGGTATGTAGAATGTAGCAAAATGTCATTTAATCTTGTGGTCTTAAACATGTCGTGTGGAAAGTTGAAACTAAAGAGTTGCCAAAAAAGGAAAGAGACATTCTTTAATAAATGGACTAAAAAGGAAAGTAGGACAAACAAATTGAAATTGACACAGTATCCATTATACTCCATAGTCCATTCAGGCCTATTTCATTCTCATATCCAATATATTTGTTTTTTTGCGACTATTTTAGGATTTCTACAAGATAAATAGTTTCCTACTGCAGAAAAATCCATAAATTTGATTACTCTCTTCGAGAATATAATTGTAGCTAACAGTTAATTTATAGCTAAGTTGTAAGGTTGAATGAGCACTAGACCCTTCCCTTCCCCTTCTCATGAACCTTAGAATACACTTACAGATACAAATTTAGACAAAATCTGTTCTGGGAGATTTGCTCTCATACTGTGAGTGCAGAAAAATAGAGGAAAAAAAACATGTACCAATAGAACTATATTACCTCTTCCTCTCTTCTTTCAGCATTTTCTTTTGTAATACCAAGAATTTGTTTCACAACATGAACTTGCTTTAAGTACAAGATTTTTCCAAGTGGCCACGGGAGATCTGAATAGTAAATCTTGTGTGCGGAAGTTCCGTCAGAACCCACCCAGAGTTCATAAATAGTGGCATCTGCAAGCCATGAATCAACCATAGCCTTTGCTGATATCCATTCAGGTATACCACGGACTTGAGAGTCCAAATCAACAAAACCATCTTCGCTTAAACTGCGGATAACTCCACCCTTCTCATTGTTGTAGGCTACGTATGTACCAGATTCGACATAAGGTATTTGATCTGGCGAAAACACAATAAATTGGGCAATCAACCTATAGGATGACTCAATGTGCTGAAAGAAAGGATATGGCGTATTAATTGACTCAAAATATTGCAAAACCTGATTAACAGATAAAATGAATAAACCAAATGGAGAAAACCGTAAAGGCACTCACAAATTTCTCTCATTTGAAATTATTAGCCTGATGAGAGAATACTTAGGAATTCCTACTTAAAAGGACAGTACTGCATAAAAGTTATAACTGAAATATTTTGGCAATAGAGCTTACTGGCCAAATTTATCAATAAGCTTTACCATTCAATTGCTATAAATTTATCTTGAAGCCCCAAGTCTATGCTCCTTTATTCTGGTAACAATCATCATCAAACACATCATTGTATTCGGCCTACTTATAGGAAAAATTCAAGGACTCAGTCCCACTCATTCTCTGCTTCCCTATTTCAAGTATTGGTAAATATATCTAACTTTATCACAAGTACAAATGGGTTTCTCTAGCTCGAGATTCTCTTAACATGGTATATATAGATGTTCTTCTAATATCAGATAGTTTTAGGATCATTTAACACATGAAATCTCCCCATTCCGAGCTAGAAATCAACTCAAACAAAGAGTTGAGCAGCTAGACCACAGCATACGTACCATCTAACGGAAAAGGCGTAAGGCGATAAGGGCCTTCCTCGCTTAGGCGAGAGCAAGGCACTCACCTTTATGAAGTGAGACATCAATTAATACCAACAACTAAAATATTTAATTGCATCTATATATAACCAAAATCTCCATAGCAATAACATATTAACAAATATCTCAATACAAATAGTACACTACACTGAATTGAGCAGAAAATAAAAATATATGGACTAGAAAATGAAAAAAAAACTGCGCAGATCCACACAAAATAGAAAATAAAGGCCAAAAACAGAGGAAGAAAAAGCTGTGCACAATGCAGATGTGGTTACTGGTTGATGTCAGAAACAGAGGGAGAGGAGAAACAAGAAAAGCGGAGAAGAAAGACTGCTGAAACAGAGGAGAAAGAAGAAAGGAGAACAAAGAAGAAGAAGAAGAAGACGTCACTTTTTGGCTTTTACAGCTGAAGAGAACAAAGGGAAGAAGAGAACTCAGTGGACTCTTTGATGTTTGAGGCATTTTAATTGTTTTTTTAAAAGAAATTTGAGGATATAAACCCTAAAATCACGTTTTAAGTTCTTAGTTGCTGCATCAGTTTTTTCAGAAAAACAAAAGGTAATGCCTCAATCCCCTTGCCTTGCGCCTTATTGTTCCTTTTCGATGTATGCTCCACTCGCCAGGTGTTTATGGCTCGCCTTGCCTCTCACCTAAGGCGCTAAGATGAGCGCCTTCAACAACGCTGAACATACCCAAGGAAGATCTGAACATTAGCAGCTGTAACTAAGACCAATGCCGGCCTTACTGCCATATTTATCCATGTAACTAAGACCACTGCTTAACCCATCTAATTGGAAGATAGAAGGAATATAAACCTCTTTTCCTCCTATAGAAAAACAGGACTTTGGCACTTGTTTATCAATCAGTTAATTCAACTACAATTCAATCTCAGTTGGGTACAATGCTCTAAGCACATTCTACTGATATAGGGTCCATTCCATATATGGACATACAAAGCGACAGCACCCGGCCTTGGATCAAGGCTCTCACTCGCTCAAGACGTCGATGCACCACCGGGTTGACCCCTTTCTTACCAGCATGGGAGTATCTAACAAAACTAAACAACCGAGTCCGACATTATGTAAGAACAACAAGAAGACTTAGTCCCAACTTCCTAAATCTTCATGTTCATTGTGTTTGTCCAGAACTAATGCAGATTAATATAGAGAAATTGTGAGTTCTTTAAAAAAGTACATCTCTGTTGCATCCTTACAACTGAACCAAAATTCTGGGGCTATAACTAGAGGTGGCTCTAGGATTTCTAAAACATGGGCCCACTACTAAAGAAAGGAAAAAAATGTGTTAAGTGGGAACTATCCTTGTTCCTCTAGGTAGACAACTCAGCTTCCAATCAAGTGCATCATTAAGCCTTTTTGTAGAATGGGTGTCAGCAGGTAATATCAATTTTAAAATATGAAAAAAAAGAAAAACTCATTTTGTGGGAAGACCATGGATTCATGTGCACTTAAACTGCATGGTAAATTCGCTCCTGCCTGTAACAATTACATTATAAGAATATTATCACTTCGCATATGATTCTTTAGTATCTAACTCGACCGGGAGGCAAGTACGTCATGGTGTAGAAGAGTTTTATGGTTTGATTAGACAGGTGATACGAGAAGATAAAGAGGAAGCAGAAAGAAACGAACAATATAATGATGGTTTGATAGAGATCTCATCAATCTTGAGCAGGAATTATATTATGATTAAATTCCGATATTATAAAGCTTGGGAGGACTTGTGAAAATGTGAAAGTTAAACAAATGATCTTTGATTATAACTATTATAAGTTCCGTGTTTTTCTAATGGCACATGTATTTGGCATTTATTCATCAAAAATACTAGTGAAATTAGGATTGCTTTGCCTTCCGTTATATGCATAATGTTTATTTTCAAAAGATTTCCCACACTCCAACCGAGCATCCGTGCAACTTTTTTGTGCTTTATTTTTTGGAAACACAGTTAACCTATGTTAGAGAACAATAAGCTCAAAAAGAAAAATATTGCTCCATAAAAATCTAAGGTCAAAAGACTCCTAATTGTTGTAAAATAACTCGAGCTCATAAATTTGGAGTTCTGCTCCTACACTGAAATGAAGACCTTCAAGAAGAAATAAAAGACTAGAAAATTTTCTTTATCCATCAAGAAGATTTAACTACCATAGTTCTTAAAAAAAACGGAATCAGGCAAACTCAAGAATCCCACTTCAACCAAAGCAATGTTTTTATAATTGTGGTGTCCGGACCAGCTTGCGCACCTCAACTTTTCTACGGGGTACCTTCAACCTCCAACCATCACAAGTACCGGGTATTCTATCAACCAAGGTTTGGACAAATGAGAAGAAATTACCTAGTATTTTTGCCTACACTAGGGATGACATTTCCAACCAAATTCATTGACCTCTAGGCTACACTCTTAGATGCTAAAAGTTTGACTCGTCCAAAACACCAAAAGTAATTAATCGTTGAACATTGCTAGAACAAAGGGATATGAATTATCAGTTAAAGCATCCTAATGATAAGTATCTGTCATCTGGTGGACACATATCATAAGAACTGACATTAGAGTTCTCACAATTTGCATTTTTTTCCATATTTTTCGCATAAAATATTCCGCCACTTCATTAGATAAACAACTGTACAATAGAACCACAAAATTTACTCTCTCTAACCTACTTTGTTTGTTAGGTTTCACACATCTAGGATAAATATTTCCAACATTTAGAGCTAAAACGAACATAAATTATCTCATTATTCAAAAATCCAAGTTAAACAATCAGAAACTTACAGAAAACACTAAAAATCAACATCTTAGATGATAACAAAATATGATCATCTGAAACAAGAAAATGACAATAAAATTATACACTTTTGCAACCCTTCAGCGCAAAGAAGCACAATTTTGATAGCATTAAGTCCAAAAACTCAGAAAATAGCTATAACAAAAATCATTTTAAAGATAAAATTTTGATAATTAGTAAGCAAAAAGAAGTACCAGAATCAGGGTTATTGAGATTGAAATCCAAATCAAATGGAGTCGCGGAGAATTTGAGGTAAACGTAAACAGGTAAACAGTTAGGGCAAGAAGTGGGTAGTCCGAAACAGGATTTTCGGGTCACAAGTGTCAGTTTCTCTCTCTCATTTGCTTCTTCCATTAGAGATTGAACAATTTATGAGAAAATCTCTGTATGAAATGAAATTGGAAATTTTTTGGTGAAAAATAAAACCCTAGAGATTTTGGGGAGGCGTTTTGTGAATTAGGGAATAAGTAAGGACTGAAAATAGTAATTTCCACGAATAGAAAGCCTCTAGCTTATAATTTACGTAAATATATATTTTTTCTAAAAATACTTTAAATTATTTTTGAAAAACTGTTTTTCTGTTTAGCAAATTCATTAGGTTTCTTAGGAAAAAAGTGTTTGAAGATTTTGGTATTTTATGCGAATTATTATTTTTATAGGTAAGGTAAAGCATAGCAATTTTTAAATCAGATGAAAATAAAGGAATTATGATTTTTTAAAAAAAAGATAATTAGGATTTGGCTAAATATATAGATAATCTCTTTTAACTTGTCTTGATATTCTATTTAGTCACACATAAAGTGGACTTGTTACTCTATCATTTAAACATTTGAACCTGTATTTAAATTTGAGTCGATACCTCAGATGGTCACTCAACTATGCACTCTTCTCTCAGAAAGTCACTCAACTTTCAATTTTTACTCAAAAATCACTCAACTATTGTTTTCTTTTTCAAAAGTCACTCAACTTTGAATTTTAACTCAAAAGTCACTCAACTATCCACTCTTTCAT